AAAACATTTTCTGCCATGACTTACATATATAAAATAGCTTCCAAGTATTAAAATTTAAATATGTACACACGTTATTATGGCAGTTTAAAGCTATGGAACTTCACACGTTTTCAGTTTTCATGTAGCTAAAGACATGATTGTCAAAATAACATCCCTCTTTTAACAACAATAGCTTCACGATCCATTTACTCTAACAGCATCTGTATTTATATTTGTATACGTAACAATATTATTACTGTCTTCCACCGGAGTTTGCCTTAATAAATTCAATAATGCACTATTTATCACCAACGGAATATTAGCTTTGCCGTTTTGTAAATTAGAATGAGTCCTTTGAATTTTTGGTAATGTATTTTTTGTAATGCTACTATCATTGAACGCAGATTCTCCGGTACCACCCATAACACTGTTTTTCAATGGCAGAACATTTTGTGAGCTAATTAACGACGAACTGGGACGTGTAGGTGGGGCTAAACTGATATTTGAACTCAATGAACTGGAACTTCGACCCTCTAAGCTTATTTCCGAGCCTCGTCGTTCAGTCGTGCTCCTTGTACTTCTTCTGTGGTCAGTTAAAGAGGTAAAAGAGTCCCTTTTCAAAATCGCTTTAATAGTGGGATTAGTTAATTTTGAACTATCTAAAGTATTACATTTCTCAGTCACGCTTGTAATCGATGCTCTTTTACGTTCTGGTAAATTTAAACTTGAAACCGAAGACCTCTTATCACATCTTTTTACTGATTGATCCTTATCATCGGACAGACATTCTTTCTGTTCTTGTAAAGTATCAGAATGTAAATTATCTTTTAAATCCGTATTTGTATTAGTTTTATTCACATTACCCAAATTTTGATCAGAAATATGAATCGATCGAGGTACTTCGTATCCACTGGTTGAATTTTCTCTTAAAATAATATCTTCATTGTCTGCTAGTAGTTCCAAATATTTTGGTATTTCGCTGGATTGTGTTCCATTATGAGAATTCTGAAGGAATGGCTGCATATCTCGACTGCCTTCTGAACTACTGGACTTCCATGAATTTCCTGGGGAAATTAATGATTACGTTATCTATATAGTTGCATAGAAAATTTTTTTATTTATGAGATGTTATGAATTTGGAAAAGAAAAAGCAGTGTAGATAGATAGATGACCTTCACAAAGAACCTACCTGAATTATTATGATTTTGATTCTCGTCAGCAAAGTAAGCCATGTTAGACACGCCTGTAAGCATGAGCCATGCAATGATAAATATGTATTCAAGCAAATTGTTAAATTTGTATATTCAACACATTTTTATGATGATGCATTATGAAAGGCAGGAGAAACTGTGAATGTATATATTTGGTAAAGCACATGCTTATCTCATGATGTATGAAAACAAATAGCATTTAGTAAATAGATTGAAATTTGAGTAAGATATCTATAACTATGATTATAGTATCGATGATGAAGCAGCTCATGTTCATTTGCAAGTTTGAAAATTGAACTTTTACTAAAGACATGATTCATGTATGTACATAAATATTTGTATACATAATTTATTACAAACTGTAATGATATTTTTAAAAGATTTACGGTCCATGCCAATAGGTTCGTGTAATGCACATGTATTATTCATATATATGATCACTTACCTCTTCTTGCTAAATAATGGCCAGCATGTACAGGAATCAATGGCGCATCCTCTATAGTGCTTCGATGACTAACTATGCTCTCGAGGCAAACTTTAAAACTTGGTCTAGCATCAGCGGCACTCCAACAGTGCAACATTAATTGATGCAATGCGGGAGGACAATTCAGAGGTTTAGGCAATCTACCACCTGCACGCACATGATGCAACACTTCAAGATTTGTTCTGGCGGGATATGGTTGTTGTCCTACGGAGGTAATCTCCCACATTAACACACCAAATGCCCATACATCGCTTTGAGATGTAAACACTCCATCCACTAAAGATTCAGGAGCCATCCAACGAACAGGTAGTAATCCCTCTCCTTCCTAGAAATCCATTCGATGTAAGTTAAAATAATTATGTTAAAAACACTAATAAATACTATAAGGGAGCATATTGATTTCAATGAAATCGATAAGGGATGTAGTATTAAAAAAATTTTTGGGATACGTTGGGAATTTTTTATTTTAGAAAGATGCATGAAATTCTATAAGTTTAGAGTTAAAATTATATGCTTTGAATATTTTGGTAACTAGAGTGTAGTGGCATAAAATTTGTTTAATTGTGTAAGTAGTAAAAATTGGTCCTATAATATTTCTAGTTATGTTTGTTATATATACTTTAGCTCCTTAATCACGCATACGGGATTAAGTAAAAGTAAATGAACATTTAAAAGCTCAAAGTTTTAGTATAATGTTACAGTAAATGATTTTACTCTTTTTAATTTTATACGATAAATGATATTTATATAATTTTAAATATAAATAATATTAATAAATATTAATAAATATAAATAATATTTATATAATTTTATATGACTTAATTTTATATGATTTTACTTTTTAATTTTATATAGAATTATACTATATACTTACTTTTCTATAATAATCATTCTTATAGATATCTCTTGCAAGTCCGAAATCACCGATTTTGACGACCCGGTTTTCTCTATCTCTGGCAGAGACCAAACAGTTCCTGCACGCAAGATCTCTGTGCACGAAGTGAAGTTCTTCAAGATACCGACACCCTCTTGCAACGTCCTCGCACATGGCTAACAAATCCTGCAGACGCAAAGCGTGCGGGTCTGCGGGTTGTAACGAACGACTTGCTCTTAAATAGCTCAACAAATCTCCTGCTTCCATCAGCTCCAATACTAATAGCGGTGGGTCCGTGTCCAAACATACTCCAAGAAGTCGGAGCACATGTTTGTGACGAAAATGGCTCATCAGTCTGGCTTCTTGAAGAAATTCGGTTTTCTCCTGCGCCGATGCTCCTTTCCGGAGCGTTTTGATCGCGACCGGCGTGATTCCCGGCCTCTCCAAGTCCTTCGCATTACCTTGGAACACCTAGAAGATCGTTCGTGATACGAATCAAACGGACAACAAAATTAGATTCATCGTTCCATTTCACGTACTTCACCAAAGGCTCCACTTCCCAAGAATTTAGCCAACGTAATCTGCTCCCTTCTGATTTTAGGGAGAGTAGAGTCGTCGGGATCGTTTTGCAAGGTGGACGCGTAAAGGGCGTTGGACTGAACGAAGTTTCCTCGCGGTATTTCCCGAAGGGTGGCTAGCTCCACGTCGCTCACCAAAGGGGGTAAAACTGCCTTTTTGTCCTCCTTGCGCTGCCGATACACTGCTGAATTGCAAAATTGATTTGTTACATCGCTAACTTTAAGTGTATACAAATTAATGGAAAAATATTTCAATTTCGTAGCGACATACTTACGGCAAAGAAAGTAACAGAAGCATATCAGCATTATAGTAATAACGGGAACGCTGAACCCTAATACCAGTCCTAGATGTTGCTGTGCGGCCAGTATGCCGCCAGTAGTCTCTGTCAAATCAATGATCGGACTGGATCTGCTCCAAGCACCGAATCCGTACGCGTTCCTGGCCTGAATCCGAAACCGATATTTACCGTCCATATCGCCCGTGATTATCCAATAATTGTCCGTTCCATTGTAATACAATTTCCAGCTGGCGTTCTCGTTCGAGTCGATTTGTTCCTTGATTTCGTTCACCTTCATGCCCTCGACTCGGTACACGGTGATTTGGGAGCCATGTGCTTGCGCGGGCTCCCAGTTCAGTTGATAGACGGAATTGCGAAGTTTCGTCACCGTAGGCATACCGGGAGCACTGGGTACATCGCCTGTTCAGTAAATAACGCAGAAATCGTATTAATGAAATTGCAATAATTGCACAGGTTCAATTGACTTGTTCCCGGACTTTTGATTTTTAGCGAATGATGCGTGTAACATTTTATCCGCTGAATACGTAAACAGGTCTTTTCATTCGTAGTTCTCGAGAAAATGCAGATTTTCATTTTCACAAATGTTTCGTATTTTAATATATTATTTATAATATATTATTTATATAATAGACCTTATATATAATATATTATTTATATAATAGACCTTATATATAATATATTATTTATAATATATTATTATTATTTTATTATATTATGCGGTTACTTTTCACATATTGTTATTCTATGCATCCTTTTAATTAAAATGACTCTTCGATCGGATAAATTATGCGAAATCCTTATTTTACGTAACATCTTTTACATCTAATGACAATTAAATAAGGATTTTAAATAAACTTAAAATTATTACTTACGAGAATTAGCGCGTTTCAAGCATCCTTTCCAATTTAATCATAATTTGAATACTTTTCCTTATTAAAATTATGTGTAATATTACCTATACTTATTATTATTATATTATTGTTATATATTATATATTATTATTATATTATTATTATATTATTATTAGATATTATATATTATTATATTATTATTATATATTATATATTATTATTATTTTGTTTCGGGAGATCCGCAGAACAATGCCACGTAAATAATAACTGCGCAATCATACTAATCGAAACACAAAACTTCTTTGAAATTGAAAATTGATACCTCCTCAAGAAATCAAATTGTTTAAATTACACATAAGAAGAAGCAACGTTTCCAGATTCGTCTAAGAAACGTCGCAGACAGTAAGAAGCCTACACATTTATTGACTACTTTTCCGAAACTAAGACAACTCAAAAGTAACATACCTAACGTTTGAAACGTGAACTTCCCATCCATCGGCCACACGAAATCCTTCTTGTAACTCGGATACTTCAAAAGCAATCGGAATTTGTACAACGTACGTGGCTGCAGCTTATCAACGAAATACATTACTTTGTCCTTCTCCACCCGAGAATTGTTCGCAACCTGCCAGTGCTCGACAGCGACGTCCTTGTACTCTAACGTGTACTTGATCGTCAAATTGACGGTGGGCGACCACGACACGTTCATACTGTTCACGGTAACATCGATCAGCGTCAGATTGTTCGGTTCCGGGAACATCCTCACTTCTTTGTCCGGGCTTTGGCTGTAAACGTCGGGACTTAGGCCCAAGTGGACGGGATACGCGCGAACGAACACCAAATACTCCTGGCCCGGCAGCCATGGCTCCAGCATGGCGAAGAATCGACCGTCGGCCGTCCTCTCGGAACTCTTTACCAGCTGCTCACCCTTTTGCCGTGCTCCGTTTATTAACCGGACCAATCTCCAGTGCACCTCGTACCGAACCGCCTCCGCGTTCAATATCCTCGGCGGCATCCAATAAACGATCGCCAAAGTCGGCGTGAGCGCTTGAATCGTCACGTTCTCGGGTGCCGTTGGCGTCCCGGCTCCGGTTCTCAGGACTATACCGGAGCCGAATTCTAGACCAGTCGATTCTAAGTCAGCGTAATAGTTGCTCAACGCTAAGGTCAGCCTGTACTTCGTGAACGGCTTCAGATCTCTTATCGTGTACTCTTTCTCGTAAGTCTGCAGCCTCGTCTCGTCGCTGTTCTCGCATTTTCCGGGCTCGTTCTCCAGACACTGGGACACGTATATCGTGTACAAACTCGTCGGTAGACTGTATTTCTCGCAACCGATATGGGGAACAGGCTGAGGAAGCCTCACGGTGATGGTGTCTCCGGTTTTGTTGACCTCCTTCACGTTGTAGGACACCGGGCGGGGTATCAGGCAGTTCGTTGGCGGATACGGTTGCAACGATTTCCCCAAGGCTTTGATGCTCCTCACGGCTGGCAGGTAATTGTGCAAGATGTTCCCGTCGTCGGGATACTCTTTGTTCATGAAATAAATCTGTCCCTCTTCCAAATTGTACCAGTAGATGTTCTTCTTGTCCACGGTCAGGGATGTCGGCGGCAATCCTCTGTTGAAGTCAGCGCTCACTATCGTGCTGCACGTGCAACCGTTAATGTCAGCGATGTTCAGGTGTCCTTCCAAGGAGATCCAGTACATGACCGGCTTTTGGGACGTGGTGCTGTCGATCGTCATCACGGGGATTACCGATGGTTTATACGGACAGGAGCAGTCTTCCTTGCGATTGAAGAACGGCTGATCCGTCTTCCCGTTTAAATCCGACTGCACGATCACGCCCCTGTCGTTCTTCGTCAGCTCGATCCAGTATAATGATCTATAAGGATAAATGTGCGTGAGCGTTTTGCTGTATCGAGGAACATTTCGAACAGCGAAACTCGACGTTTGTCTCTCGCGTGTTCAATAATGTTAACGAAAATTCGCCTTTAACCCTTTCGGTAGGAGCGCGTTGATTTCGCCGTGACACTGCCACTGTACGGGGTGCCGAAAATGCGCGCATAACGCAGGGTCGGTCCACTTTTGTACGAAGATTTTCTTAACCCCTTAACGTGCACGCTCGAGTTAACTCGAGCGCGCTGAACTGGCCAAACTGTGCACACTCGGGATAATTCGAGCGGCGTTGTACTTTATGTCGCTATAATTTTTCACACTCGAATGCAATCGAGAATCGAAAATAACAATGTGAAAGCAAAAAAAGACAATCGTTTTATTGATATTTATCATTTACACGGGATTGTAAGCTATAACACTGACTTATTCAAGTATAAAATATATCCTTTTTTCTATACTTATATCACTTACGACTTATCTCTTCCTTGTGAACCGCTTTCCGACAGCGTATTCATATTCAGATTCTGATTCGCTCATTTTTCAATATGTATTTTACTAAAATATAATGTAAAATAAAATATAAATAATAATATATGTAAATATAATAATAAATATTGCAAATACTAGAGTATTGTTATTATTTATGTTTTAAAAGTATGAATAAATATTTTTACTGATAATAATGTTTATTCTGAAAAATAGGAATTCGAAAAGAAAGATAAAAAAAGTCGATGCGCCTGTAATATTACAATATTCGACTATTTTCTGCAATGTTATCAAAATCCAAAATTGCCATAAAAATTTTCATTATTTCTGTATTTTTGTCATTTTCTTGCCAAGACAACGTTCTAAATTGTGTTTTTTTACTCTTTTTTTACATTAAAAAAAATTGATTCTTTTTGGCCGGCCTTTTTCAAAAAAACTGTGCATTAAGGGGTTAAGCGTTAAGTAATGACTGTGCTTAATCCGTTTCTAAATCTTTCTTGAAATGTTTCCTGTAAACATTCTGTAAAGAATGTATAATATAATTATATAATATATATATATAATATATATATAATTAAAAAATATAATTAAAAATATATATAATATATATATAATTATATATAATATATATATAATTCGGCACTCGTCCATATTGGTCATCAGATGGATGCCGGATGTATCCGGCGCTCGTACCGAAAGGGTTAATTCGACCCGTAAAGCATAACAGTTGTAATTACCCTGTGGATGGTAGAATATCAAGATTCAGGATGCGTCTGTTCGAGGCATAAATTACGTCATACTTGAGAAGCCCCGCTTGCCACATCGTCAAGTCCAACTTAACGATTTGATCGCCGTTTTCATTGTAGCCCGACTCTGACCAGTACAAGTTCCTCGCCACCCAATCGACGGTCAAGCTGAGAACGCTGTTGTTCAGTGTTAAGATTTTGGTAGCGTTCGCGCCGTTCAGATCGGCGGCCACCAGCTCCGGCATGTCGTTTATCCAATAGACCTTACTGTCGGCTGCCAGATATGCCAGCTCGACTGCGACGTGCTGCGTCAGAGTGTCGTTCTTTTCTTGATCCAAATCGGAGATCCTCACCTCGTCCGTGGTGGCAACCAGCAACTGCGGCACCGGATTTTCGTAAACGGTCGACACGTTGATTACATTGGAATACGGTCCCGGGCCGATTTTCGTGTGAGCTCGGACACGAAAGTAGTACGTCATGTTCGGTTCCAGATCGTGCACCGTGTACTCCAATTGATCGGAAATAAGCGACTGGTCGCAGAATTGGATCTCAAGATCGTTCCAACATTGGACGGTGTGCCCGACGATCAGGCCGTTTGCGAACTGCGGCGTGTTCCATCTGTAACGGGAGAAGCGGGATTAACTCTTTGGGGCACGGTGGGATTAAAAATGTCCCATGTTTTTCGTGCACGGTAATGCGTGGTGAACGATTTTTAGATCCGCCTTTGAAATATTGCGATAGCTGCATGCGCATTCGTGAACCCATTGTGGCACGGTGGGACTATGTATTTAAGTCCCACCCTATAGTAGTAAATTGAATTGAATTGAATTATTATTTTTTCGTTTTTATATTGTGATCTCTTTGTTAATAAAAATATACCAATTATGTTTAATGAAAAACGCGATAGAATTTCTGTACAACATTGTCCTATTTTATTTCCTGAAATTCTGTGCCCTAAGAGAATATTTAGTTTAAAAAAATTCAAGCATCGGAGGATTTGACATTGCTGCTTCATACTTCAAAGATGGTACTATACTAGTTGGTCCTTCGTGATATTTTATCATTGCATTGTGTAACCGATTTAAAAGCAATTTATAAATCTATAATCAATTTGTAACCAATTCGTCTAAATAGGCAACAACGAACACTATTTTTAGAATCAGACGAAGCCGAATTTAATATTTACTGTACAAAATTATAAATTGACGATGATAACTTGACTGCGGATTTTTACGCAAAATACAAATTGTCTGCATTATTTGCAAGATACAAAACGAACATAGATATTTCTTTCTTTCTTTCTTCTTGTTATGTCTTCTATGGAATATGATTACAATATACGATACATATTTTATAACATTATCACTTGTTTCTCTCTTTGCAAAACTTCTTACAGGAAAACAAATTCAAAACTGAAGTTGATGTCAACCAAGCACTAGTCGAGTTCTTCGCCTCTAAAAATAAATCATTTTTAAAAAATGGCAAAGTATATTCTATATATATATAATATATTCTAATATCAAAGTATATTCTAATATTCAAATTCTAGATTCTAATATTCAAAGTCTATATTCTAATATTCAAAGTATATTCTAATATTTAAATTCTATATTCTAATATTCAAAGTATATTATAATATTCAAATTCTATATTCTAATATTCAAAGTATATTCTAATATTCAAAGTAGATTCTAATATTCAAAGTATATTCTAATATTCAAATTCTATATTCTAATATTCAAA